TGAGGTCTCTTCAGGATTTGGGGTTTTTGGGACATGCAGCTCCTTCTTTTCCAGTGGGAGATTCCTGTTTTCCTGTTTTGCTCTGCTTCACTGTGTCCCTGATTACATGCAGCCGGGTGGAAGGAGACCTGTCTTAGATAAGAGCAGAGAAGGTGGGTGGTGGGGTGTGAGGATAGCGCAATACTCTAGGGAGAAGAAAAGTTATGTTAAGGTGAACGCACAACAGTTTTAGACATATTTGAAGGTTTCATGTTGTGGCTTACAGATAGCTGGCCTTAAACACTTGGTAAAGTAAAAATGATAATTAAATGTACTGAATTCTTATAATTATTAAAACAGCGAGAACAACGTAAGTAAAACAGGAAACAAGAGACACTCACAAAGACACGGACTTGGAACTGAGACGCGACTAACTGGGGAAACGCAAGGGATGCACGAACCCGGAGCACAGAGACAAGAATAACAAACTGATAAACATGGAACACAGAAGAATGACCACGGAGACAGAACCAAACATACAAGATAGACTACGCAGGGAGGCACAAATGAGAACAGACCAAATGAACAAGAACACACAACAGAAATACAAATGATTAAACCAGGAAGAACGAAACTAAACAATAGTAAAACAGTGACAATCTCTCAGAGAGCTGAAAATGACTGTTCAGCGATGTTCCCCATCCAACCTGATGGAGCTTGAGAGATCCTGCAGAGAAGAACTACCCAAAAAGAGGAGTGTCAAGCTTGTGTCATACTCAACAGGAGCTGAGGCTGTATCTGCTGCTAAAGGTGCTTCAACAAAGTATTGAGCAAAGGCTGTGAATACTTATGTGCATTTTGTATTTTTGCTTTTTATTTTTAATAAACTTCAAGCAAGAATTTCAAGTAAAGGTTTTCCCTTTGTCGTTATGAGTTGTTGTGTAGAATTTAGAGGTGAAAAATAAATGCAATTGATTTTTGAATAAGGCTGTAACATGACAAAATGTGGAACAAGTGGAGAACTGAGAATACTTTTCATGAACATGTTGTTTTTCGTTTAAATCTGCATTCTTGTGCAGGAGATGCCAGGTGATATAGACTACATTAACTTAGGTCGAATGATTGTCCCCCTGGAGCTGAACTACTGCCAGTGTATGCTGGAGCTGGAGGAGTACTATGAAGTCATAGAGCACATGGATGAGCTGCTGCAGAAACACAAAGGTATGTCTGTGAAGGTTCTCAGTCATCCAGGTCATCGTAGTCTAAGGAGCTTGCAAAGAAAAGCGTCTGGACTTCTTTAAGTTGCTTGTAGATGTTTCACCTCTCATCCGAGAAGCTTCTTCAGTTCTTAAATGGTGGGGAGTCCCAGATTTAAACCTAGTGGGAGTATCCCCCTCAAAGAGGGACAAAAGGACCCCTTGATCTAAAGGTCAAAGGTCACTCTTTCGAGGATGCCAATGTTCACATTTTGGACAGAGAGGACAGATGGTTTGAAAGAGGAGTGAAAGAAGCATCTATGTCCACTGTGAGCGACCATCTTTGAACAGAGGCGGTGGTTTACGACACCAACTGTCTGCCATCTATAATCCAGTTTTGAGTTCCCTCCCCAGACGCCTTAACGCCCACTCACATCCTGGGCCATCTGACCTCAGGAATTCGCATGATAAGGTGGGGCCAGGTTTCACAACGAGCTCACCCGAAACTCTGGCTGATTGGGACCCACACCCAGTTTCACACCTTGGCTCAGGCGATTAGAGGATCATCAGGGGGTCCTTTTGTCCCTCTGTGGGGGGAAACTCCCACTAGGTTTAAATCTGGGACTCCCCACCATTTCACCTTAGAACTGAAGAAGCTTCTCGGATGAGAGGTGAAACGTCTTCAAGCAACTTAAAGAAGTCCAGACGCTTTTCTTTGCAAGCTCCTTTGAAAACACAAAGGTAAAGAAACGTGCCGGAGAAAGAAGAATTGTGAGGGTTTATTCGGATTATTCTCCTCATTTCTGGTTAAGAAACATCTTTAATTTGACTTTTTTCGGGAGAATCAACAGGGCACACTTTTATATATTTCCCGTCACCTAGATTCACATTTGCACGGTTGCATCAGCAAGCTTAATCCTGTGCACAGAAGTAGTTCAGCAGTGCAGGGCTGTTATTCACTCTTTCCCTTCAGAGATTTGAACCAGCAATGCTACCATATGCTCATAGTTCTCTAACCTCCAGGGTACTGCTGTGCCCAAACTTTGAAAAGGAGGGGAGGGGGGGAGGATAAGCTCCAATTCTTGCTATCATCAGCCTTTGTTAGCTGGGCTAGTGTAATGAGAGCCATTACTATTTAAAATGATTCCAAATCTTTTATTCTTTCTAGAGCTGTAAAAATAAAGAAATCTTACATTTGACTTTACTTTATAAAAATTCTACCTGCAAGTCTAAGTGTCATTCATGCAAAGTGATTCAGAGCAAGCTTGACCAGAATATCCTCGAGAATGTCCTATAACATCGACATAACTGCACGCATTATTGCATTCTTGACTTTTCTAGAAATAATTAACATTTTCGTTTGTAACTGACTTACAGGAATTTTGACATTTTGATACATGTGGCCATTTGCTTTCTTGACAAGACAGAGGAAGATTGATGCCACTCTGATGCATGAATTTTAAATCTGAACGAAAGCCAGATGGCCCTCACATAGATGCCTCCTGGTGTTATTTTTTAGTCTCATAAACTAAGTTGGGATAATATCAATTCACTCTTTATAACCGTCGTCATTATCAGTTTAATTTGCACCTCTCGGTTCAGGCTTAACAAAAACAGTCATTTCAAAATCTTGTAAAAAGCTGCCAGGTGAGAATCTGACGCCTGCACTGGTTTTACTGCATGTTGCAACTGTTTCTTGTTAATGACAATTTTAAAGCTGAAGCAGTCCCAGGAATTGCACTGTCATACCCATGGCTACTCAAAATCCTAGAGGAGCCTCTTATGCTGGCACAGCCTTCACTTCAGAGCCTCATGAATTATGCCCATGTTGAGGCAGCCTTTATTTTACTCTCTTCTCCCCAGTCTGGGGTTTCCACTTCCCCAGTGTTGTGTATTTGACTTTTGCATTATTTGTGATGTGGAGCTATAAATCTGTTTATTTTATCACATTATGGTGACTTACCTTTCCTTTAAGGACAAAACAAGTACTCATGGTGTAAGGAGAAGACTAGGCTGTAAGGAGAAGATACGTCTTTTGGAAAGTAGTGTATGCAATGTAATGTCTTTTGAAATGATGCAAACACAACACTATGTGTGGCAATAGAAGGAGATGTGTAAACTGAGCACAAAAGTTTAGCATGGATATGTTGGGCAGGATTTTCTGGGCTTCCCGACCCAGTTTGAGCACTTGTCACAAAGCTGCAGGGCTCTTTATGAAGCTTAGAAGCATGTAGCCCCCCACACGAGCATTGCTACACCTTCTTCTACTCTTCTCCTCTCTTATTGTCCTCAGTTTCATTTCTCCAGTCCTTTTCTAGCCGTGTCTTAGTTTCATTTCACACTTCCGTCTCCTTTTGCTCACCGCTCTGCTTGCATTCTTCGCGCTGTTGTTGTTCCTCCTGTCATCAGTATCACGTTGTCTGCATGAGTTCCTGTCAGCCACTCGGCTGCTGATTCATCCCTTCAACCCATTTGTTCTTTAGAAAAGGATCACTGCACTGTCTCTGCTTTGCCAGAGGCGACAGTGAAATCTGTTTAACTGCTGGCTGAACGAAGATTTAGCGTAGAGGGAAATTAAATGCAGAGAAACAGGAAAATTCAATTATATGTGTCTATCTAAACTAAACACAAACAGGGCCATTGCAATGTGTTCGCATGGTGTTTCCACATGTCTGAACTTTCCAATTTGGGAAATGCAGTTATTCATTTTTTGGTCTTTAATTAAATGCTTGAACCCCCCCCCCATCTCTGCTCATCTTTTTTTGCATGAAAAAAACAAAAAAACACTGTTATGCCTTGATGAGACACCTTTGTCTCATTTAATATGTGTAGATCTGTGAATATGCAAATTCTTTCCCACCTCCTTCATCAGCGACTTGCCTGCAGCCTGCTGCCTGCCCCCTGCACACTCCCTGTGCACAGTGGTGGTCCAAACTTCAAAACTGAGTGTTTTGTTAAGCACAGGAGGAAAAACCCAGTGTTCAATTTGTAAAGCAGGAGATATGCTGTACAGTGAGGCTGCTGCTCTGCTGGGTCAGGGGAGAGAAAAATTCCTGGAACACACACACAAACAGACTACCTCGAGCATAGAAAACAAAGACTAGGTGCTAGGTTTTAAAAACTAAACAAAACAAATAATTTAGGCAATTTAATACTCGCTGGGAAGCTTTTAGTGCACTTATAGTAAGGTCTCATAATGATGCTTTGTAAGTCTGAGATTTCTAGGCGTACTCAGTCTAGGTAATATCAAAGGAGAGTAAAATAACAGGCCTGTGTTTACACTTCCATGCCTATTTGTCCTTTTAGATATTACGTGGATGATTATTTTCCCCTAAAGTACAACAATTTTCAGCATCTTGACATCCTCCTAACATGGCAATGCTGCACAGCAGCAGCTACACTGAGCTTAAATGAAATAAGTCTACACTGACAACATTAGCTTTCACGCTACCAAACTCTTAGACCCACCAAGACTGGATTCTGCAGTTTGCTATTTATGAAACACTGGCT